CATAATTAATTATAATTAAAATTAATTATTTAATTAATTATTTTTATAATCAATTATATCCAATTAAAACAAAAACAGGCTCATAGTCAAGAGTTTTGGGCGGGTCAACTAAGTTGAATTTTATATTTTGTTATCATCCCTAGTTGAGCCTAAAACAACATCATTTTGAAGTAGTCTATTAAGTTTGTGTTTCTTCTCCGTAAAGTGTTAAATTTGTGTTTTAGCACCAGCTTTATTAAATATTAACTACTTGTTTCATATGAATTTTTTATATATTTTAATTAAATTATATTATTTTAATCATAACTAATTTTTAAATCACTATCTTAATCAATTCAACAACCAGTTCAATTTTTATTTTTTTTTGTTGCCCAAGATATCCTCAAAGTTAGCAGTGGCAAGAGTAACCATTTGAAGAATTTGAACGCCATTTAAGAGGTTATTCTCTTTTAAGTAATATTTTTTCAGACACACATTCAGGAATCGAACTTGGAATAATGCTTAAGAGGTCTAGACTACTAACAACCAGTTCAATTTTAAATACCTCATGGCTTTTACAAATTTTAAAATTCTTATATATTATGCAGATACATACTGAGATCAAATATATTATTCATAGTTTACATAAATATATACATGTGCGCGCGCGCGTGTTAATAATGTTGATTAAATTTGTCTATGAATATGATTCGTTCATATTTATGTTTGACGTAACAAAGCCTCTGGCACCAAAAAAAAAAAAAAAAACAGACATAAAAAAGAATTACTAAATTTGACAATGAAGTTTGGATTAAAAAAATAGACGAAATGGACGGGAAAGTGGAAACGTTACAAACTTATAATAACTGAATCTTAAATCAATATTAAAGTGGCTCATGCCCATATGAAATTTTTTGACTAGCTCGCACTCTTTAATGTGACCTCAAAGGATTCTGTTTTTTTATTATTCAATCTCTTTGACCTCAACATTTAAGAAAATTTATTTATCTTTTATTGTGATCTACACTTTATATTTAAATTGGATCCATCTTTAGAAAGAATTTTTTTTGTAAATATTTAATTTAACTTTTTTTTTATAAAGTTTTTAATTTAACTTTTGTTATCACTAGATGTGGCTATGTGGGCAATCCAGAAGCTAACCCATGACTCCATGAGGGGCCGAAGTAAAAACTACATCAAAGTGGAGGGCTATAATTAGTTTTTAACATTTTTTATGAATAGAAGCCCACTAAAACCTTTGATGGACCACCAAAAATATATGCATAGAAGCTCAAATAAGGGACTCAAATTTTCAAAAGATACAAGTTTTAGCCCAAATTGAATTTTTAAATAGATTAAAACTAATCCCACAAAAAATATGTGAAAAAAGAGTTTACAGTCCAGCTTCTGGCCAATCAGGAATAAAACCGATAAGGCCCAATTTTAGACAAATTCATTTTTTTTCGATTTTAGACCTTTCAGTTATTTTTCTATTTTACATTTATTTTTAATTGTCCTCTTTTATCTTTAGAAGCTTTGTTAAGGCCTTGTTGAAAAGCCCTTTTAGACGTTTCAATTCGTTTCTCACATTAGCATCAACATTGTTTTTGTTTTCAGAATATTTTTCTGCCAAGTTTTGGATGTTAGTTTCTTGACTTTTCTTTAATTCCTTATATATTTTGTTGCATCAGAAAAGTAGAACTGAAAATATGAATTCGTTTATACAAATTGATCCAAATACCTTGCTATGAGGGTCAAAGTTAGGTTGGAAAAAATTGACCAACATAAAAATGGACTCTTTTTTTTGTTTGGATCAAATACTTTGTGAACCAAATGGCTGACCCTAATGGATTAGAGTTGATTAATTTAACCCATATTATTTATAAATTAAATAAATATAATAACAAAAATAAGCCTTATCTTATTAAGTAAGATTGGTTATATAAATTACATGATATCATTGTATTATATCAGCAACTAAAAAATAAATAAATCATTGAGGAAAAAAATGGAGGGAGTTTTGGCACCCTAACCCCACAAGACAAGCAGATTTGGAATAAATCATGATAAAATTGATCAATATTATACATTTGTGATGTATTTTTTCAGCTTAGAACTTACCATTTAGTTTTTTTTTTTTTTCATTCTGGTATCCTAGGTCTTTAACCTAGAGTAAGTCGATCGGCAACTTGCGGACGCCCCTTTTGGGAGCCATATCTTCAACAAAAACTTTAATAATTGCTGCATGCCCAAAGCTCAAACTCAATATCTCTAATTAAGAACACTACTAAAAAAAATTAAAATTAGTGATAGACATTCAATGAAGGATCTCCAATCCATCAATAATTATAGGTATTAGTAGTGAAAATTTTGTGATAGATTGGGACATGTCACTAATTACATAAATTAGTTACGGAGATAGGTTGTCATCATATTTTGGTCAAATTTTATAAATTTAGTAACAAATTTAAATTTGTCGCTAATTTCTGTTAGTAAATCTTTATATTAATGAAAAATTAGTCATGAATATTTTAAATTAAAAATTTAGTAAATTGTGCTTAAATATTATATAAAAATAAAAATTATAATATGCATAAAGAGAATCACTTGCAAAAAAAATCTTAATAATTTCCAAATTAAATAATTACGCAAATAATTTTTACTTATTATAACTAAAATATATAATAAATGATATAGAAAAAATAAAAAACTTTTTATTTTATTATGTAAATTAAGATATAAAAATAAAAATTTTATCATATGAAAATATTTTAATTATAACATGGATAATATAAAATGATATAAATAAATATTTATTTTAATAAAAGATATTAATTGATTTCAAATAATATATTTATTAACTTATAATATATATTGATTTATATATTTATATGTGTTAATGTATGTGTATGACAATATAAATTATCAACTTATTTAAATAATAATAATAAAAGTATATTAAATATACTAAAAAATACATTAAATTAAATATACGTGTTTAATTAAGTAATATATATTAAATTTTGTGTATTAAAAATGAAAAATCATTATAGTTCAACTTGCAAAAGGTGCAAACAAAAAGAGGGAGATTTTTGGGTTCAAGATGAGACAACGCCACAAGTAAAGAGTGACATGACAATGACATGGCTTGGAAGTGCAAGTAGAAATAATGTAGTGGGTGGTGGTAATGGTGACATGGCATGGGAGGTGACATGGTAGTATTTAGACCTACAAAAAAAATTTAATTAGTGACCAAAATTTATTAATTAATGACAGATATTTTTCATCACTAAATTGGTGATGGATTTATGCCTGTTACTAAATTAGTGATGCCATATTTGTGATAGCAATTAGTGACAAATTATCAATCATTAAAGCTGAAATTAATGATAGATTTTGCTTATTAGTAATAGATTTATCTATCACTAGTTTCATTTTTTCTAGTAGTGGAGGGATCAATCCACTAACCAGTTGATCCAAGCTCTTGGTGGTATATATGTAAGTTTAATTTGTTACAAAAATTGTGAGAGAAATAATGGGTTGATTGGATTATCCTATGAATTTAACCCACCAACCCATGATAATAGGGCTCTGATAGAGTTTTCCTAACCCATATAAAAATAAATTGAACCCAATCAAATATCCATATTTTCTCAATTCATATAATCTGAGTTTGTTCATATTTTCAATTCTATGGAAAAGTAAGGATAGATGAGAGACCTACCTCCTATGAACATCTATAAGAAGAGAGGATTTAGCAATTTATATTTGATTTAGGTTGTCCGAATAAAATTTGGCTGCCCATCCTTTTATAAGTAGAAATACAAAAATATAAAAGACAACTAATGAAATCAAGATCATATATATTAAATAATATAAACAGTGTAGACTAAATGCGCATTTTATACATGATGTCTAAAGATACATACGCAAAAGAAGATATCATGTGGTCTCATGGAGTAAAGATGATCATGATCCATGAAGCAGTCATAAGAGAACATTTTTTTTGTCAAACTAGTGATAACAAACTATATTCATGTAAAGAAACAACTAATAAAAAATGAAGTGAAACAAAAATAATAAAATACATGAAGTAGATCTAGATTTGTGTGCGTGTGTTTTTTTCCTTTCATTTTTAAGAAACGTTGCCAGACTTTTTATGCGATTCATTTGGCCAACCAACTTTTGTTAGCATTAAGTTTGGTGATTGATATGATTACCAACCTCTATATTTGTCTTCAAAGCTAAATCATCATTGAAAACCCTAACCATCATGGAAAAGCGAAGCAACTGGCTCTCAGATCTTAGCCAGTTCTTACAACAATATAATTACACCTAGCGATGTTCATGCTGATAATTAATTGAATCAATCTTCATTGTCAATATTCCAAAATATATATGTAAGTATTTATGTGAATTTATGTAAATAGAATATATATATATATATATATATAAAATCTGCACCTTTTTATCCCCACTGACTTACTACGCAATGCCCAAGAGTATATTTTCTTTTAATTTTTTAACAATTTTTTATACAATGAATTAAACAAACAAGCACACAAATATATCAATATCTAGTTTGAGCTTAGGATCTCTTCCAAGTGAGGGAGGTCATGCTGTCATTAGAATAACTTGCCATTAATTTGGTAACTACAATTTCATATCAAGTAGGGAAAATTAAATATAATGTTTCGTTCCTGTAGTTTTCCTCAATTATCAATTCAATTTTTAAATTTTAACTCATAATAACTTAATTCTTGTAATATTTTAATTCAGTACAACTAATTCTCTATAATTCTATGACTTAATAAACTATATAATTAAGTTGCACTGCACTAAACTTCAAAAACTAAATCGTAATTGAAAGAAATTTTAAGGAGTATAGAGCTATATTATTCCTATCAACTATTAATTGACATATAAAAATTTAAACAAAGAGTAAACACAGTTATTCTAGCACAATATATGTCCACATTAATAAGAATATTGAGGAAGTTAACTGTCAACAAAGCAAAAGAAAATTTGAAGAGAAGACATGTATAGAATCAGATAACATGTATCAAAAACCTATATAGATTTATCAGTAACGATCAAGATAATGAATAATGCAAATGAATATAAATTGCCCTAATAATTAATTAATGAGCCATGGCCACATGATGATGAGGGTGAGAGAAACTGATGCTTCTTTGCTTAGGCGTAGCAAGCATAGCAGTATGATCCAAGAAATCATTAAGAGAAACCAGAGACTGCAAAATAATTCTCAGATCTTCAACACATGAAAACCCTAATCCATCAACTTGTCGTCGAACGGCATAAACATAGAAAGTCACGCACCCTTTTCTGAACTTAAACCTCGCCATCTCAAAACCTTTAAGAGCTCTTATGAGCTTCTTGTTCACTTCACCAAGAGATATCTCTAATGGCCAATTCTCTTCCACTTTCTTCTTTACAGCTTCGTTTTCGAACACGAACACCACCACCTTCGACTTCTTTGTGCCGAGGCCGAGCGTGAGAGTGTGCCAAGCATGGTAAGCTAAGATTGTTAAGTTTGTGGGGACGAAGACTGTGGTTGAAGGAAAAGGAACCAGAAGCTTCTTGTTTAGAGTTTGTGATGGTGGCGGCGGAAGAGAGAGGAGTTTCAGAAGTTCTAGGGTTCTTGCTCGCCGGATTGTGAAGGACTTGGTGATGAATTGGCTGCCAAATCGGAGACCCTTTACCTCTGAGCTTGGCTTGAATGAGAAATATGATGACTGTAATAATAACTTGGAAGGTTGGTGCTTCTTCTTCTTCTTCCTCTCCTCTTCTTCTGCCATGGCTATTTCTCTGGTATAAGAGAAAGTGGGAAAAGAGAATGAATTGAATGTTTTGGTGTTAGAGATAATAAGCTGTTAGTATTGTGTGTTATTATTGAAACTTTTCTTTGGTACCTTTCATTCTTCTTTTTCATGTGAGAGGATATGATAACCACTGTGCAAATAAATTATAATTATATATAGTGGGTATGGGAGTGGAGAATTATTTACATTTCTATAAGAAATTATATCTATAATTAATATTTTTTTCATAGTTCTATCTCAAATTTCAACGAATTAATTAAAATAGCCCTAGTGATGGATCATTAAAAAACAAACAAACAACTAATCCATCTTATATGCTTATGTCATGCAACCTAGCCAAGCCAAATCTGCGTCCATCAACTATTCTCACTAGTTAGTGTTTTTCATCAAAACAGTATGACAAAGTTTGTTTCATATAACGTGTGTTTTTTAAATTTTAAAATGACATTTAATAACGCTTTTTTTTTTATCTGGGGGGTAATTTACTATTTATTATTATACTAAGGATTTAGAGGGATCCAATTAAATGAAGGGATTTTTGTTTATATTTACTGCATTTCTTAATTTGTGTATAATATAACAATTTTAAAAGTAAAATATAATGAGTGACATTTACAATAAAAAAGCTGGAATAATTAGAAGCTTATAAGCCATGATTAATTACCCGGAAAAGTAGTTCAATATTATTAATATTTAACAGGTTGGACTGCATTTGTGATCTTATGAATAATGGAAAACAAGTTGAGATCCTTCCAAGTTCCAACAACCGTAAACGCCACCAAATTTTCTTAAATTTAGCAATTTGTGGGGGTTTTCAAGAAATACTTCAATTAATTCTATTTATAAATCACTTTTAATATTTTCACTATAATAAAAAAAATATTACTCCTTTATTAAATCTCATTAACTTTGTTTAAAAATTTAACTTGTTTTTAACCTTAATCCTATTAAATATATATATATATACACACTTTAAAAATTAAATACTCTTATATTTAACATCCTTCTAAACATTTAATAGGGACCAGCAAAAAGATAAAAATAAACACAATAATCGTTGAAATGCTATATAAATAGGGTCAAAACAAACAATTTTTCTCAATCCTATAAATAGGATCAAAGGAATACATTTTAACTAATTGCTAATGTTAGTTCCAAATTGTGTGACACAGCGGACATAATCAAGAAGTTAAGCACAATTTTGAGAATAAATTTAGTACTATTTGTTGAAACTGACCGCACTTTGACAGGTTATTGGTTGGTAATATTGGTGCAATAATTGATCACTTAACTACATGTTTTTTAAACAATTACTCCCTCCATCCCAAATTATCGAAAACTTTTAAAGAAGTTTCTTCGCCCTAAAATATAAAACACTTTAAGTAAATTAATGTTTTATTAAATGTATTATTTTCAATATTATTCTTTCTCTCTCTATAATTAATTTTTGTCCATTCTCTTTTCAATGCATTAAATGATGGGTATTTTTAAAAGTTTATATTTTGTTTTTAAAAAATAAGGTTAAGTGTATTTAATAAAGTTTATTGATATGTAAAATTTTGTCCAAAAGTGTCTTATAATTTGGGACGGATGGAGTATTATTTTTTTAAAATAATTGATCACTTAATTTAATTATTATTTTTTTGGTCAGTTAAATAATTATTATTTGATATTCTATACTACCAACAAGCGCCAACTATTTTGGAATCTAGAAGTTTGTCATTCTCCTATTTTCATTCTTTCTAGCAAGGTTTTTAACAAAATGGATATTGAAGAAACTTCTGGTAGTCTATCTCTTAATAATATTTCTGATTTTTATTTAGATTTTAAAAAAATTACATATGATGTAGATGTATGTATGCATGTGACTCTCAAAGATAGGTAAGATTATTATAGAATCATAAGTATGAGACCTGGGCTATATAGGGCTTGTTTGGTTATTGTTTTCATTTTTTGTTTTCAAAAGTTATTTTATAAAACAATTTTAAAAACTATTTTTGAGAACAAATAAAAAATAAACTTGTTTGGTAACAGTAATTCAAAAACAGTGATAGAATTAAAAAAACAAAGAAACTTGCTTGGCAAAATTAATATTAAAAATAAGTTCTAAAAACTAAAATATAATAAAACTCGTTTGATAAAAATTGTTTTGGATGTTATCTTGCTTGGCAGAATTAGTCTCTTGTTGCATTTATATTTTTGGAATTTCTCTACAATTTACAAAATAAGCAATATTTATAAGAACATAAAAACTTATAGACGTAAAATTATTTGTTTAATTTTTTAATTAAACCAAGATAGACATGTAATTATTTAATATTATTAGCACATGAAAATTTATTTATTTAATTTAATTAGATAAAAATATGCTAAGTATATAAAGTTATGTACGTAAATTTGCTTTTATATATATATATACACACACACACATATAATAAAACATTAGCAAAAGTGGAAACATTTTTCAGAAAATGAGAAATGAGAAATTTATATTATATTAAAATGAGATATTCTAATAAAAACTAAAAGAATCTATAATTATTACAATAAATGAGATAGAGATATAGTTAAGCAAAATAAGGTAGAATCAATTAAAAATCATAAACCAATCATTTTGTATAAATAGAAGAAAGCCTTAATGTAAGCTTAATTACAGCGAGATCAAATCAAAAGAAATCAAATAGCAGAGTAGCATGAGGTTGAGGAAGACAAAAATGTTTGAATCAGTGATCACCAAAATCGTCCTCCTAGCAGTGTGGGAACAGAAACAGCATTTTTTGTTTCTCGTTTTTACTCAGGAAAAACAAAAAAATAGGAATAGAAATAGCTAAAAGTTGTTCTAGTTTTCTTGTATTTAAAAACAAAAAATTAAAAACTGTTTTCAAAACAAAAATTAATAACTCATTAACCAAACAAGTTTAATTGTTTTGAAAATATTAAAATAAAAAATTGTTTTTAAGAATAGAAAACAAACAGGCTCTAACAGTTCATAAATAAAATATTAACTTTCTTAATTATATTCAGATGTGGTCTCTAATATAACAACTTACTTCAAATTTCACAAAATTCTAAAAGTCCTGGGGTCAAAAATTAAAGTAAACTGTTTTAATATTAAATCCCTTGCGACTCAATGCCAGCGTGATAAATACTTCGAAGGTGTTGTGTTTTATCATTTTTTATTGATAGTTGGTTAAGAGATTTATAATTTTCTATATATATGGGAATCAATATGGGTGTTTGTTGAAGGGTCAGTGATGCTCACATACACCAGAATTGATAGGAAAGTTGACATAAGGTTTCAACAAAAATGATAATCCCTCTTTATAGTTAATCAATCCCACCAATAAAGATTAATCCTGCTGATATATAATAATTTAATCTATAAACTAGAAAATCGTGAAATCAAATTCTATGGAAAATATAAGTGAATCTTGTTGATAGATGATTTGTAAGTACCTCTTTAAACATTCTTTGAACTTAGAAGTGTGCCCTACTCCTGATTATTTTCTAGGACCTAATTGATCTCAACTTCTTTTCTTAAAAAAAAAAAAAAAATCAGTCCTGGAGGCTATTGATCACAAAGGTTATTGGGACATTATTGTCTTGGAAATATTCTTCATCCTTCTAAATTGACACTTAACCTAACAAATTATAATCAATGCTATAACATGCACACTTATTCACTGCATCTCATGATTAGTTCTTGGACAGATTAGGTTTTCTAAAGTCTGAACTAGACCGTGACGAATTAATTATCGTTTTATCTATCCTGATCTGGTTCTTGAAATTTGCTGGATAAGCGTCAATAAATTGTTTTAAGTATGTAATATAAACTTTATATGTCACATTATTCAATAATAATAATAATAATAAATGGTACAATTTATTTGTCAAACTCCATATGATATATAGAAAGCCAATGTTGGACTCAAATTGAGGAACTTATCACTGATGTAAATCTAAGCTTAGCTTTAATAATTTTATTTTCGTTTATTTGGTGAATTACAAAGAGAGCTGAGCCCAAAAGGATCAGAGAAACGTCATACTAACACATGGGGTCATACTCAGAGACAAGAATACTATCAATGAGTTACAAGGCCTTCAAATTGTTCATACTACTCTATATATGGTCTTATATAGGGCACTTTTTAGGTCTTTATGGTTCTTTTTATTGGTCATTTTAAAAGTTTTCCAGTGTCAATTTTTTTTCCCATACTTATACCCTATAGTGAAAATTAGCAACTCTTAGTTTCACTATGTTATACAGTGATCATAGCTAGCATGCTAAGTATGATTTCTTCCCAACATGAATCATAATTGAGATTATCATAATATTATTCTCTTCATGATGCTTTTGAGTTGGGCTATGTCAATCTCAACCTTCCATGACCTCCTAAATTCCTATTCCCATTAGCTAAGTTGAGATTGTTAGAATAATTTTATAAATTAGTTATTAAGTCAACTAGTGTTAATTAATTGTTAATTATAGTACATAATAAGTTTAACTAAATTTTTTTTGAATTAAATATTATGGCTAGAAAAGATTGATTGCATGTTTTAAGCATTTGTGATGATAGGTAAATCATTCATGTCAACTGGATAGAAGACCATAGGGGTGGAAAAATGAATTGGCTCAACTTGAATGGGCCAACCCTTAGTGAGCTTAGGTTTAAAATTTCTTATTAACAAAGTTTGGCCATTGAACTCGCGGGCTTAAAGTCAATCATGCTGGTTTCGAGCCTTCTTTTATATTTTTAGTGTTTTTTCTTACTAAAATAAATACACAAGATTAACTGTGTTTGGTCCGTATTTGAAGTGTCATACCCCTTGTGTACACTAGGTGTGTTAAAGGAGCTTTGTCCCCAAATGAGGTGGTGATCAACGACTCTGGATTTCCAAAGTCCTTTATCACAATTTCCTCGAAGTGCCTAGGTGATTACAACTTTAGAGAATATGAATTTTCGTAAGGAAATGACAGTTCATTCCTGGAAAGTGAGTACAATACGTGTGCTCCAATGAACCAAGTGAGAAGCAGAGTAATAGTGAATCTAGAAGACCTAGATTATAAGTAAAAGGGGTTGCATTGGGTGAGCTTGCA